CCTCGTTACCTGGAAAATGGTTGGTTTTCTTTTTCTGGCTTTCCTGTTGAGCTGACAGTTTCTGCCACCTTTTCAAACCTCAGAAATCATCTCTTCTCAAGCTCTTTCGGCAATCCTTGAAATGCTGGTGCCTATATATGAAAAGCTAACAAGACCTAACAAACAAACCAACAAGACCAGATATGGATCTGTTTCTGTATTCTGCACACGGATGTAGATGACACTTGGTATTTGATTTGCACTGTATACATTCTAACAACTGGAGCTGTCAGTGCTTCAGAATAACATTTGACAAACTCAATAGATTATATTCTCCTGAAAGTCAGCGGTGGGGGAGATTTATTTCTATATTAGATTATTTATCATCCTCAAAGGGCTGTTTCTTTCTTGCTATCAATAAATAAATATCACCACCTGGCAGGTTGTCTTGCTTCCCATGTGGGACAGCAGAGACTGACACTAACACAAAGACGCACTGATGTGTTAATTTTGGACCAACACCATTTCATGTGCTGTGACATACTGTGAAGGACACTTTCAAATCAAGTAATCTAATTATTGATGCACAAAGGCACTTTAATTGCTTCCTTTGCCGTTTTCTTCTGAGATATTGACGGTGGGGGCTCTAGTTTATTTAATGTGGTTTTCCTGTGGCAGTGCGGAAGTTCCCCTTTGACTAAAGCAGCCCTATTCGGCAAATTTTGAAGCACATTTTTGTATTTTGTAACTCTACTGTGACATGTTTGAATGTTTTTCTTATACTGCCTGTGCTGCAGCACCTCTTTTCACCCTCTGTCTGAAACCACTCTGTTGTGATTGGTCAACCGCTTACAGATGCCCCTCAGCCTCACTTACAGTACAATGTGTTGGAGCGCCAGCCAATTGAAGCACAAGTGTAAATAAGTGTATGTATGTAACACACTACAGGAACGGGGAAAAACCCCAAAAAGCATAATAGTGCCTCTTTAACTCCAATGTTCTTCCCATTTTCTGAGGTGATTGGGTATCATGAATATATGTGTAATAGATTGAACAATGATTCATTAAATGGAGCTGCTTTGTTGAATGTGTGACTCATTCAGCGTGGCTTTCAGTTAATACTGTATTTTAAATGCAAATGTATTCGCAATTTATTAATATTTTGTCAAAGAGATTTTAATGATCTCATCGAAGTAATGTTTATTCTCGGCTTGTGCCTCATCCAACATTTGGTGCAGCATCCTCGTACTTTATGGTCCTGCAGTCAGTTGCTCAACAGTGTAAATGACTTGGATTTAAGTCTCAACCCTTGTTCTTATTCCTCTGCAGCCATCTAGTGTAGACCGCATTCACCTGAAAGCTGTCGAAAGACAAGTGAGACAGCATACTGTAGGGACATGTTGTTCAAGAAGGAAATATAAAGCAGAAAGCCCAGTTGTAGTCACAGAGGGAAGAGCATCCAAAATACTACATTTATAATACTCTCAAACAGGATTTTACAGCTCTTAAAAGTAGTCAAAGTGGCAACTAAATGATGATTTTGAGGTAGTAAACTGCATAAGTGGGTAATAGGATAGATGGTGGGTGTAACCTAACAGTAATGTGGTAGATCGTTACAACATTTGTTGCATATTTCAAAATGTTTGTCCGAGATAACACTGTGGGACAAACATCCTTGGCAAAGCTTTGGCACGTTAGAACCAAATGTGTCCAATGTGACTGCTCTTACGACCTCCATCTACAAACTAAGCAATCAGAAGACGACATGAACTGAGGCAAAGTACACAGGCTGTCACATCATTTCAATTCTATTAAGAAAACACACACAACCCTAAATGATGGAGGTGAAACTCAACTAAAGTGCAGCTCAGATTAATGATGTGAGAGGATGAGCTGCCTCTGCTCTCCTATTGATTTCATAGGGCTACAACTCACACAGTATTTATGTGAGTGTGTGTTCAGCCTGTTCTGTCAGCAGTGCAAATCCAGTGTTTAGAAAGATCTGGCAATGCGAGACTAACACATCAGAGACTTGGCACAGCGGCCCTCTTTAATCAAGGTATCATACTTTCAGATCTGATCACAATGTGTCATCAGTGTGTACTTTTTCACAGATGAAAAACGATAATAATTAATTCCCGGTGACTCACTTTTCACATAAAACAGAAGTTGGTTTCTCAGATAGAAATAAACTTCACACCCATGAAGCCACAACTCACACCAAACACCGGAATCTGTGTGTCGTGAGAGTCCAGCTTTCTCCCCTATTTTGTTCCCTCATTTTATTTCTTCCCTTAATTAAGTGAGCCCATTTTGTGATACAAGATAGTGATTCTCTCTGTTCGTCAGCGAGAGAACAAACGTATGGGATCAATGGAAACTCAAGTCAAACAGCAAGTCTTGTCACAATAAACTCAATCTCACTTTGATCAGATGACAGCGTCGATTCCTAAAGAAAGAAGGGGCTTATAAAATGCTTTTAAAGGATTCACCATGGTGTCATCAAACATTTAAAGACTCATTTGTATGCAAACAATCTTTGAGCTTATTCTGAGAAGCATTCCTCATTTTCATTCATCCTTGATTAGAGTAATTAAAATGCTTTAAAGCTTGTTTTTGTTATGACAACAGGACAGGGCTGTAAAAGATGAATGAAACAATGACAGAGATGATCAACAAGCAATAGAAAATAGGTGAAAAATACTTTTGATGTCAGTTCTCTCTTGTGCTTTATAGAACTTAAGGTGTCTGAATTATGCAACTTCCCTCCCACTGCAGTGAAATGTGGGATATATGTAATTACACTTTTGGAGCAGAGAACTAGAACTCAAGATGTACTTGAGAGCTTTGAAAGGATGTCAGACACTGATGATTTGTTGGAAGTTAAAGAGCATCTTGCAGGTTGTTTATTTTTTCTACATTTATGCTTAAACTTGCTTGAAAATTACAATTAAAAAAGTGAATGCAGGATTTGATATGTTTTACGAGACATAAGGGCAGGAATTCAGAGGGAAAGGAGCAATTTTGAGCTCTGCTCTTAAAAACGGCTTTTTTTTAAGGTCATACGGCAAACGCGTCATATTACATCACACAGGGGACACATCTCCGCTCTCTGACCGCGGGTATAGTAGAGTTGCGTTGAGTAGAGCGGTTGTGTTTTAAGGAGCTGGTATTTTTCGGTAGTTTTACATTGTATTTCACCATTTGTAATCATGGTGCAGTATTGTGTTTGTGCAGGTTGCACAAATACTAGCCTGTCAGGACATCGAGTCCACAGTAAAAAGGACCGGAGCTAGCGTTCGTTCCTGGGTGCGTTGTGCATCCACCTCCCTGCAGCACATACTCTCCACAGCTTTATCAGGAAACCGTATTACTTCTCTCTCTCCCCCCCCCTTCGCTGCTCTCTCTCTCTCCCCTCCGGTACACGGCACCGTAAGACATAGTGTGGAGGTGCATTAGGTAACGCTGTATAAAAGCCATGTATAGAACGGTAAATAACCAGGAACGAAAACTCTCTATACTATTATCGAGTAAACAATTTAAGTAAAAATCTCGTGTGTAAACTTTAGTCATCCGCTCGACATTAAAGCGGTCGACAATGAGAGTACTCACTCCGTCTTATTATTGATCTCACCACTTCAGTGCTGGGAGATGAAAATTATACCTTCTGGACAAACGCGGTGTCTTTTTTTTTTTTATTTTAGGGCATTCAGTAATATTACTGAATCAATAGAGTAATAATAACTGGAATCGATAAGAGTAATATAACTGAATCAATAGAGTAATAATACTGAATCGATAGAGTAAATATACTGAATTAATAGAGTAATATACTGAAATCCTAAGAGTAATAATAACTGATCAATAGAGTAATATAACTGAACGATAGAGTAAATATAACTGAATTATAGAGAATTATAACTGAATCTATAAGTAATATAACTGAATCAATAGAGTAATATAATGAATCAATAGAGTAAATATAACTGAATTATAGAGTAATATAACCTGATACCGCCGTAAAGTGACGTCGCCCATCGGGGCAAAATTCGCAAGGAATTTAAGCACGAGTTCGCCGGTGCGGTCAAAACCACCGGAAACAGGTATATCGCATCGTGGCCCGATCGCCCATGAAAAAGGGAGAAATAGGCCGGGGTATTGGCACCAAGATAGTCCGTCCGGTCCCACTTATCACTGCAGTTGTGCAGGGGGCTGACGACTAACCCTAGTCTCTCTTAGCGTGTTCTGAGCGCGCCGCTTCTAGTAGGGATCGCAGCGTATATATAGAATCTTCAGTTCGAACGTCGTAAAAATATGTGTCGTAAAAACATATTGCCTCCTCGATGTTTTTCCGTTGCAGGTTTCTTTTTCGTTGTGGCACCAGCTGGCTCCTCCACTTCTGCAATATGTAAGAGTAAACCCCTACTACTCTTTAGGGCTCCCCTCGAGACTGCCTTGTTGAACTTTACCACTTTCACAAGGTCCTACCAGAGACGTGTCTACAGGGGCGGACTGTGACGCAACGATGGGGTCCAGGATTTGACATTACCTTTACGCGGTGCCGGAGCCTTCCGGTCGCTCCGTCGGGCTCCGGACTCGTTCCTGCGAAATCCCTGCGAATTTGCCCCGATGGGGGCGCGTCACCTTTACACGGTAATCAATAGAGTAATATAACTGAATCAATAGAGTAATATAACCTGAATTATAGAGGTTTAGGTCCGGAGGGAGTCCATCTGTGTGTAAATCCACCGACCGTCCATAAAAACCTCTCTACACACTATACAAACTGCACAATATTCGCGCAAGATAGACAAGAAATGAAACGTCCATGAATCACGGCCGGTGAATCACGGGGCGTGAATAATGGGGTCCCGTGATTCATGGTTAGCGCAAAGTGTGGCTCTCTGAAAAGGGAACTCCCCTTCCTTCTAATGCGTTTACTCGGCGACTGCAGTAGAAGAAGAAGACGAAACACAAATTGACCGTCCGCGTTTGTTGAAGTGCCGTTATGGACGGAGGCTTCAGGGGCCGGCCTTCAGGGGCTCAACCCCCTGACCGAAGTCATCCTTCGACGACCTCTGAGGGTCGTCTAAGATGACTTCGGAAGGCTCATTTTGCGGTCTTGCGGGTGTGGAGGAGTCAGCCTGCAGGTGGCGAGGGTAACAAAAAAACACAACGTATTCAATAAAGAGAGATGCAACCACCGCACCCCGATTACGATTTTACGATTACGGTGGTTTATGTACCGCGAAGTGTTTTGAAAGTCTCAAAATGCCCAGCACCAAACGTTAAGCGGTGGGTTAGTCTTGACGTCCCGTGATAAAAGGGGGCGTCCTATCATGGTGGAGAGATGTCCGTGATTTTTTACCCCCATTTTGCAAGGCCGTGATTATGAGGAAAACCACCACTTGCGTTGTATTCCCATGATTGCCTTGATTTTTTCCCCTTTTTCATTCCCCTTTCAAGAGCCACACTTGCTCCGATAACTCGAGTTGGAACAGAAGATTCTTCCAAGTTTGCATTTTTGCCACGGATGCAGGTCACCTCGGTGCTCCCCATCTTTCGACCAAAAGGAACGAAAGGAAAAACAAAACAGAAAAAAGTAACTCGGTGGACAACGGTGTAATCTGAAGGAGGTAAGTACATTGCGTCATTTGTCTCAGCTACACTGGGGATTTCACCAGGTGAGCCTATCAAACGGGTAGAGGCAAGAGGTGCTTTATAGAATTTTTTTACTCGACTACATCAAATCGGCTTTGGTTCACAAAACTCCTTGTTCTTTTTAAGTGACAACATCTATAACTATCACAACACACTGACATACGTTCCCCTTTGTCCGGTAGTATTTATCGGTATTACAGGTATAGCGGTGGAAGTAATTGTGAAGAAACCTCAGGAGGAGATTTTTCTTTAACCGTGGTTATAAACCAAAGTGTAATCAAAAATACTGTAAAAATTTTGACTCCGCAATACATGTCACATACATTTAGTCCTTCAAACATATATCTTCTTAATTCTAAATTTGACATGATACTACTAGACAATCCCCCTAATATGACTTTGTGTAACAATGGAGTTCTGAACTCTGCTATGGAGAAAGAGAGAGGACTGCAAACAAACCGGAGAGTCAGTCTAGAAAGAAAAAAAATGCAAGAGTAACATGGCTGCCGGAAGAGAGTATGGTAAACCTGTCACACATATATAACATATTATGGGACTTCGTGAGACCATATCGGTTTGATTGTGGTTTTCAGACCAGTTACAATACACATTAGATAAATTATCCGTAAATATCTGTATATATCCGGGTGTGTGCGAGTAAACGTCTACTATTTTAGGAAAAAACTTACTAAGATCCTTAACCGACTACAGACTTTATTTCGACCCCCCAAAGAACACCGAAGTCACTATCATGTATATGTACAACGACACAAATTCACAACTAAAGGCCTTTTTGTGAGTCTTTGTTAGGTCACCCATGTCCGATGTCAGTGTTCTTGTTTATTTAATATACTAAACTTTCTATAATGTAAAACTAATCCTCAGTACACTATTTCACATACGAAACTGGAACCATATATAAGTCATAGGTTTGTTCCGGACTAAATAGGAGAGATATGGGTTTTGAATATTCAGTTATATTACTCTATTGATTCAGTTCATATTACTCTATTGATCCAGTAATATTACTGAATGTGCCTAAACCATAAAATAAAATAAAAAAAAGGACACAAGCGTTTTTGTCCGCAAGTTATCATTAAGCACCGTGTATAAGTTTGTCTAGCTTTCTATGTAGAAAGGGAGAGGTAATGAAGTTTTGTATTAAAAAAGCTTTATTCCCAGGGCCTCGAGGGGGGCCCTTCCCTCCCTGAGCGGGTGAGAATCAAAATACGTACGGTTTTCGGACGACACAGCAAATAACGTGGAAGTTTGGTAATTTTGTTTGGTCTGAATGCACAAAGACATGAAGGAGATTCTTGGGTTTCCTGTCATTTTCTTCTAGAGACTCCCCGAGTCCGTAACTAGCGGCAAGTTTCTGCATCGCAACCAAGGGGTTTTCACCCGCCCCGAACATTTCACTGCATATCTAAAATGGGAGTATATATAATAAGGTTTTGGTAAGATAAAATAAGTTGATTTAATGTAACGTCACAAATAGAAAAATTAAACAAACAAAAATAAAATTTAGCATATACAGTGAAAAATAAAAAATAAAGATTTAATTGTGTGACAATAAATGAGTTGTTATTGTGGTTAATAGGAACAAAAATAAATAAGGCAAATTAAGATATTAGAACCCGAAAAGGTCGGCAGTTATTTCACTTGGCCTTTGTCTGCATCCGGATATTTCCCTGTAAAACTCGCTAAGGGTGTGGTGTTTGGGTGGGTGACTCTGTCTAATGGTTCCTAGGAGTCCGAACTTAGCAGCAACTAACCTAACAAATCGGCGTTACGTCTACAACCCTATACTACAATTACGCTATACTATAGGCTTTTGTTCATTATTATGAAAATAAGCTCACAAGAAACGAAAAGAGAAAACCTTCAGTAGGTATTGACGTAACATTATGTGCCAAGCGACGTAATTTATAATGGTAGACGGCATCCAAGAAATAAATATCTAGGGACCTACGTCTTCGTGAATACACAAATTGACTATAATATATGTATTAATAATAGAATACTACATCTATCATATTTCTTTACACGTCTTAAACTGTCAAATTACCACCTCCAATATGTGTGTATAACTATCTACCAGAACATTACGTGACAACGTATTTATGTGACATCAGCACATATACTATACAGTTATTTGAATCCTTTAGAACTTTAAAAATTTCCCTACATGGTTTTTTTGTTAATATATGTAAAAAATTAATGATAATCATCTCTTATTACTCATTAATTATATGAAATATCTCTGACGTCATTCTACAAATCAGAAGAGTTCGTGGTGATAGTTTATAGAGAGGACTAACAACCGTGAACTGTTAGTGGAAGGGACTTTTAAACCTTTCCAGACGAAATTCCCAACAATATATAAAGTGTAGTAATTAGCTTTAGACGTTTCATGATTTTATTTAAATACACCTCATTTAATTATGGTCCAATTGGAGACTAACATTGCCTCATCTTAATGTTTCATTGTTGACTCGAAAGTACACCCATATATAATTACGACGGTGTAATACCTATGTTCGCTAAAGTGGGAAATCATTACATAAATCGTGAAACATGGTGTGGTTGACACGAACAGGATGAGCGGATTTGGAGCGCTACCGGACGATGTGTCAAATTATGACAGTTGAAGATTAAAACCCTTTGTTTTTGCAGAAAATTTTGATGTTAGGTATCTCTGCACGGTATCCTCCTTGTACAACCGCCTTGAAACGCTTTGTGTTATCGGTCGTACAAATCAACGACCCCCCCGCAAGCTCAGGCGTCAAAACTTATCAGACGGCACCAAAGCAAGGTGAAGTTTTCTCGACTGCGAGACCGCATTGGAACCGCTGACCGGTGAGTTGTAGGGTTTAGGGTCTCGAACTTCTAATTAGTGCCCAAACAGTTGCCCGTGAAATCAGGGTCTGGTATCGGACCCCCTGAATACGCATCACATCACAGAAGCCGGTAAGGATTTGACTTAAAAAAAAGCCTATAGTATAGCGTGCCAATTGGTTGTGGTGTAGACCGCAGTCTCTCTAGAAGACAATGACAGGAAAGAACGAAAATCTCCTTCATGTCTTTGTGCAATTGAACCGTAAAACAAAATGTTACACAACTCAGAAAACTGCGTACTTTTTCGGAGCCGTGCACTGGAGGGCCGGGGGTGGTGGTCGGGGCCGGTGGGAGCACCTGCATTGTGCCCCTTGCTTCCCCCTCTCAACGGCCCCGACATTCGCATAATTATGTTGTACCTAGGGTTACGATAAAACCTGTGTCTTCTGTGTCTTCTTCAACTTGTACTTATAAGCTTACGTATACTGCCTAGTGTTGGGAATATTAATACTCGGACGAATCCCCAGGTTCTCTGGGTCCTCGTCGGTTGCCGTAATCTTCTTTATTGCCGGTAGCCCTCTTTAACTCGACACCACACTCCTCTTGGCTCACCCTTCTTGACCCCGTCCGTAGACCACTCACTGGCTCGCAATCGATGTCTTACAATCGATTGCAGTGTAGTGTTCGTAACATTTCAATCGATACGGTCGATATAGTCCGATATTGATTTCAATCGTAACTATTGCATATCGATTGCAATGACCGTCCCTGACAACGCTATGCGACTAGGTATTGTCTTTGATTACACGTTCATAGTCGGCATAGAGTGACAATGGATTTACGTTTGAAAGGGTGTGGATGCACAACAACTGGCCCTCCCCCTCTGCGCTCTATGCCGACATGAACTCCAGACCGCCTCTTTCCAACCACCTCGGAGGCAACTATACGGCAACATTTACCGAACTACCTTTCGTCCACCACACAGCCCCTCCACGTGTCGACTAACGTCGTCCACTCACCTCCAACTCGGCCCTCGTCCTCACTGTCGGTGGTGCGTGTGTGGTTTGGTTGTGTCCTGTCCACGCTTTGTTTTGGTTTGTGTTTCCTCTTGCGCGACCTGCGTC